TCAAGGCGATGCAACAGAAAAGCGATGAGGGAGATGTAACACGCGATTTAGTTTTGAAACATCGAGATGCAACACTTTCAACATACGTCCGAAGGCAGACAAAACACTTGAAATATGCTTCTGAAACACTTGCAAAAAAATACCTGAAAACACTTGAAAACCATTGCAAAACATACGCAATATCCAAATAAAACACTTGCAACGTATGTGTGAAACGTATGCAACATCCAGATAAAACACTCTTGCAACATACATCCGAAAACACATATGAAACATTGGAAACCGACCTTTGCAACATATGTGTACAACCATTGCAATATATGCAACATCTCAATCTACTTTTGCAACATCCGCATGAAACAATTGCAACATACCTATGAAACACCTAAAACACATAGAACATACTCTTGCAACATACGTTTTTAGCACATCGCAATATCTCCATGCTGTTTGGGAGAATGGAGGCTCGTCGGCGTGTGGAGTTCGCCAGAGACAATGGCCTGGCGGCGCTTGTAGGCGGTGAGCCGGCGGCAGCGGCTACGCGAGGCGGTAGGGAGGCATCAACCACGCGACGCGTCAGGGAGGTAGAGGGTAGTTGCGGCTCAAGACGGCCACACGCCACGCTTGGCAAGCAGGGCCGGCAGTCTGGTGGTCGAGCGCCGCGCCTGGCAGGCAGGGTCGGTAGCCGAGCACCGCGGCTCGGAGATGGCCGCGCGCCTAGGGTGCAGCAACGCTGCGACTGTGTTTCTGGTTTATCTGAAATTCTGAAGACAGGGACGTGCCTTATCTGAGTCCAGCATAAACATTTTTCAAACTGAAAATAACAAACAGAACACAGAGAAACGAAAAAAGAGCTTTTGCCAATCAGTCAATACACACTTAAATTTCTCCCTCCCAAGATCCAAACACTATACTTTGCTAAATGGGCCAGGCCTGTTGGACCAGCCACGGCACTAGAAAGCACGGCCGGAGGCCCATCGTGCCTGTGCCTGGCACGGCCGATCATAGTGCCGTGCCTGGGCCGCAACTTCGGCGGGCCGGCACTATACTGGCCCAATATATGTGAGCCGTTGGATGTCCCCAAATGAATTGTAGCCGTTGATTCACGTATAAGTGCCATATATAAACATGAGAAACCCTAGCTTCTCTCTCACTCTGCTTTCCTCGACGCGGGGGTGGCGGCGCGCACAGTGCGGCCGCGCGACGGCCTCGACACGGGAGTGGCAGCGCGCGGACGCAGGGCCTCGGCGTGGGGAGCAGCAGCGCGAGCTTGGCACGGCGCAACGCGACTGCGACGGCGCGACGACAGAGCGAAGCACGGCGACGACGGCGCGGCTGAAGCGACCTCGGGCCGGCTTGGCACGGCTAAGGCTCGTTAGTGCCGTGCTTGGGCTGCGACTTCGGCACGGCATGGCTAAGCCACCGTGCCACATAGTGCCGTGCCTGCCGTGCTCAATCGTGCCGTGCCGTGCGGCCGTTTGGCCACGTATACCAAACACATCTGCTCCAAGACAAAAACTTCAGATGTCCAGCATCTCAAGTTCTCAACCCTTGAAAACAGGGTCACCGAGACAACAATGCAACTAACATCAGAATTAACAGGCCAAAGCGAGCACTCATGTGACGCCTGTAAACCACACCATCTCTCACAACCATGACAAGTAATTCACACACACACAGTGAGAATAACAGTAATCTCCCTCAGATCCATAATAGTATCCAAGCAAGCATAGAAACACCAAGTATATATCCGGTTTCCATGGATCCCAGTACATACAGAAGTACAATTCATCAGAATAAGACTACAGATGTATAGTATTTCGGTAGTGTTATATCTTCAGCAGCACCTGATAAGTCGAGCACGTCTTTCCCTTGCACGCCTTGACAACTTGCTGAAGCAAACTCATCACCATCAGCTTATTCATTTTTCCATTATTTATTATCTTCTCCATAATTTCCAGGTATATATGCCCATGTCCACAGGAGTAGAAGTAGACAGGATCAGCTGATCAGGATACCATAAGATTCTGTTCTTGAAGGTACTATTTCCCTCCATTCCCAATTCACAGATAATACACTTATCAGCCATGATAGCCCTGTTTTTCTCGCACAGCGAAACAACATCAGCCGGCTTATCAGCCGCAAAACCATCAGCCGAATAGCTAGAGGCATATAATGTCCCATAGCTGGGTTGCACTAATATAATCCCCACCCAGCTACTCTGAGGCAAAGGAGTAACAACACTGAAAAGAACATCTTAATCCTTCCATGGAGTGAAACAATTCCGGATCGCCATTTTCACTCTAGAAGAAATCTCCCATATCCCATTTTCCAACCACCTGTAGCATCCTTCTTTTCTACTACTGTATAAAAGACCATGCTTATTCACAAGAGTGGATGACACCACGAGGCAAGGAGTGTATGGATTAATAGAGGGGTAGCCATCTCCTAGCTTGTGGAGAGCACACACTTCCTTGCTATCCATGTTATACGCTATCAGCTTCCGGTTCCAGCGCTGAAAGAAGAAGACGAAACTGCGATCCGGATGAATGGCTACCACATAATAGAATGAAAACATGGTTTCCTTGCGCATATCACAGCGAGAGATGACGAAGCCATCATCTGGACTGCTCGTTCTTCTAAACAGTTGTGAAAGGCTTATCACATCATGCTTTGGAACCCATTCTTCAGTGTCATAGTCCTCAAGAACCCCAAAAGACAGAGGAATTCTTTCGCGGCAGTTTCCCTATGCTCACTCATGCAACACAGGTGCCGCCCTTGGGCTTGGCTCACAAGAGCAAGATGGCCACGAGACTTTGGCCAGTGGATGATCTTCTGCGTCTTCCCTTCCGCATCCATAGCGACTATCATGCTGTGAGATCCAGGATGAATTTCACAGATGACCAAGTGCAGCATGCCCTTGAAGACGACGCTGCTCGGGAACTGGTTTATGATTGCATCCAGACTCCACTGTTCCCATCCACCTCCAGCCCTGTCAACCCACTCCCCAGTTTTTTAGGGGTAGGTGTGCACCCCTGAAAAACCCAAGAACCGCCTGTGTTCCTTCCAGAACTGGATCAGCTGAAAGTCGTCGGGGGAGACAGCAGGGTCAAAGATCAGATACGCAAAGACTTCGTCACGCAAACGAGGATCATGTGGCCGCCTAATCCTGATGGCAGACATGGGCCCTTGCACCATTCGTGAATCAAACTGTCCTGCATCGAGAGGGAAGTGGAAATTGAGGGGGTGATTGGTTGCCCTGCTCGGACCGCCCAAAGGGCCATCCGGTACCGCATCATACACTTTGGCCTTATTTGGTTCCCCGTCTCGTACCATTTGCCTGCTTCATTCCGTTCCTTTCCACCCCTCCACCCCGCACGCGTCCACGCCTCCATCTTGTGGATTTCTCCTTCCCTCATGTTGCCGGATGACTTGATTCACGCATGATGCAGGCACCCATGCGTCAGACACCCAAAACTCTAATGCATGCATGCAACCAAACACAACCCCGTCTCGTACTGAACCAACAGCAAAGACAACCAAACACGACCACCTGCACGAGCTCAACCCGACTTCTTCGGTCCTGCACAGCCTAGTCATCCTGGCTCAAGGCTTGCAATGCAACCAATCACGCTCTGAGAAGACGAAGGCGTGCGGGATGGAGAAGGACAAATGAATGAGAGGAAGCAGGCGAAAGGTGCGAGCAGGGGAACCAAACACGACGCAAGTGCACAAAGCGATACCGGATGACCCTTCGGACGGCGTGAGCGGGGCAACCAATCACGCCCAAAGTGTTTGCACTTTGCAACATAGGGAAAAGTGATATACTTATTCCTTCAGCTTAAAAAAGCATATACTTATCTCCAGTCAGAATAACAAGACGTTCAGAGTTCAGACATGAAAATGATTCACAAAACAAACTGACTAGCATGTCTGAAACATCATAGTTTTTTTTTACTATAGGGAGTACTAACAGATAGAATGAAAAATAACACTTAGTAATCACTCACCACTTGTAAGGTCACAACAAGTATCTATACTGCTTATAATCTTAGTGACACAAAAGGTAGCATTCGAAATATATAACTTTAAGTCTTCGGAGAAAATCATCAAATGGTAGTCAACAGCATTCATTAAGATAATAACTAGCATATGTAAAGCCACCTTGCATGCATATAGAATAAAGACAAATATAAACATTATATGCACAGAACAGAAAGAAAAAAATCCACTTTAAATCTGTAGGCTAAACAATTGTAAAAGTACTAGCGCAACTATTGACTGTTATAACAACAATTCGAAAATAGCTCAATAAAATGCATTTGTCTTATGCAGGGCGGCTAAAATAGACACAAGCAACCAGCATGGGCACGCAAGATCTTCTATTTCCCTCTGTCCGAACTACAGAATCTGTTATTATCAGCTTCAGCTATTGATTAGCAGCATACAGAATATATGGTCTCCAAACTAGTCACATCAAGTAATCAACATCAACTGGGCAGCTTTTGATCTTAATATGATACAAAATAAAAGATCAGCCTAAACATTTGTAATACACACATTGTTTGCAACACGTGGAAGATTTAATTCCTCAGCTTAAATGAGCACATACATTTGGCTGAAACAAAAATTAACATCTAGCAATAACTCATTACTTGCAAGGTCAAGCAAAAAAAAAAAACGAGTATTTACGCTGCTTATAATCCTAGAAACAGAAAAGGCAGCATTTGAAATATGTAATTTTAAGTCAAGAAAATCATCACAAGCTGGTCAACTGCATTCATTAAATATGACAGGCACATATAAAGCCACCTTACATTACATGCAAATCTCCCAACTGCATGTGGTAACTAGTCCAAAAGCATGAGACTGAAAACAACCATGCACCAAAGAAATTCATTGCCTGATTCTAGTAAATTTAATAAAGTTGATAGATGCTTGATACTTCCAATATCGTATTCTTGGTTAACATCCTGACAAAAACCCCATAAGCAACATCTTCAATGCTTGTTTGCAAGCACCGATGACTCTGAGAAATATGGCACATAAGGTGTAAGAGAGCAATAGGCATGCCCAAAGTTGTGGAGTTCCTTACTATCCATGTAATATGATACCAGTTTATGGTTCCTGTGCTGAGCAAGGATTATTGAATTGTGATCTGCATGAATGGCCACAATATCGAAGTTTATTTGGCCACTCCTTGATCCAAAGAGCTGTGAACAGCTCACATTGTGCTTCAGAATCCATTCTTGTGTATCATAGTCCTCAAGAACCCAAACTGACAGTTGCGTGAAATGGAAAATGCAGCCTTGGAATTTCACATTACTACTTATGCAGTGCAGATGACCTTGGGATTGACCAAAAAAAGCAGGTGCTGACACAAGCTTACCAGGCCAGCAGATGGCCGTACAAATTTTCCCTTCCCCATCCACCGCAACTATCAGATTCTCATCTTTCTCAACATGGTAGACAACAAAATGCAACAGACCATTGACCAAAGCCCTGCCACATGTGAATTCGATTATGGCTGCACCCCACAGTCCCCATTCACCGCCCTCTTCACCTCGTTCCCACTTGCTTGACCTGTCACTCCATGCCCTGGTTTCAGATGAGTAAGAGTGCACCGTTTCCACCTCCGCCTTCGACCTATTCTCCCAGATCTGGACCACGTGGAAGCGCGAGGAGACAACCGGGTCAAACATCAGATAGGTGTGTGCACATCTTTTCTTATAGCTGTCTTCCAGTAGAGGAAGCAGAGGCGGACAAGAGCCGGAGCTGGTGGGCACAGTCACCAATTCCTCGGTCGCAGGGTTGCACACGATGTACCCGAGCTTGTCCTCCCGGGTGCACCCAAAGAGCAGGAGACCGTTGCAGGAATCCAAGAGGACCATGCGCTCGACCCCAGGCAGTTTCGCCGTGAGGAAGGAGAAGGAAGGGTCAACTGGAGGAGCAGATTCTCCCCTCCCCGACAGGCTGGTGAAGTGTCCATAGCTGTCATGCTCAGCGCCACCGTGGAAGAAGCCTTCCAGGGTCTGGGGCAGCTTCTTGCGGTGGAGGGGGTCGGCGATGAGGTCGCGCCAGGGTCTGGACACGCACTTAGACAGGCGGAGGTCCTTGACGGGCACGCGCGAGAGGATGTCCACCATCAGGTCGTCGTAGAGGCCCGCCACCGCCGTCCCCTTTGCGCAGTCCATGCCGCCGGGTGTGGGGAAGAGATGCGCCGGAAGCTGCGAGTTTTGCGGAGAATCAGGTGGGGTTAGGCCGTTAGGGGATGTATGCGCACGAGAGACACAGGGACTGAGAAATGTGGCGAACGGGGAACGTACCGGCTGCCGGAGAGGGTCCGCGTCAACGGCGGCCGTGCTAGCCGGCGGGGGATTTGCCCAGATGGAGTAAACCCTCGCGGCCCACCCCTGTAGCGTCTCGCCTCAGGACAGGCAGGAGTCAGCTGAGGCCTGAGGGGACTGAGGAGTTGCGTCTCGGACTGAGTTAGATGAGGCCCGCCACCGCCCTCCCCTTTGCGCAGTCCATGCCGCCGGGAGAGGGGAAGGGACGCGCCCCAAGCTGCGAGTTTTGCGGAGAATGAGGTGAGGTTAGGGGATGGATGCGCACGAGAGAGACAGAGACTGAGAAATGCGGCGAATGGGGAACGTACCGGCTGCCCGAGAGGGTCCGCGGCGACGGCGGCGGCGCCAGCCGACGGGGGGACTCGCTCAGATGGGGGAATTTCTAAACCCTCGCCCCTCTTGCGTCTCGCTCAGGAGTCGGAAGTGGGGGAATGAGGAAGAAGGACTTGGGAGGAAGATGGCTGGGTGCATCCTAATAGCCCAAGGTTTAAGGTGCGTTTTGCTAATGTGCCGGCATCACAAATTGTCAAATTGAAACCGTGAAACCCTGTGTCACGGCCAGTGCCTCGTTTGTTTGTTTGTTTGGCTAAAAAGACAAATAGAGGATGCAGGTATGAGCGCATTTCCTTGTTGCATTTCAAAATAAAAGAAAAATGAAACGAACCAACAATTATGATTGCTCTTTTGATTCTCGACCAAACGGTAGTTCTTCGATTCGAGCGTCCGACACTTTAATCGAGTATCGAGACGGACGCAGACATGAGGCCATGTGACACAACCTTTGTTTAATATATTCAGTCAATTCATTCATAGGCCCTGTTCGTTTGTCTTTCTGTTTGTTTGTCTTAAACTTGACTTGTTCGGCTTGTTTTTTCAGCCGGAACAGTATTTTTCTCTCACAACAATTCAGTCGGAACAGTGTTTTTCAGTCAGTTTCAGCCAAAGTTCAGACCAACGAACGGGGCCATAGTCCACTTCGCAATATCAATCAATTCATCCATCTCACATTCCACCGCCCGCCTCGCTCCTCTTGCCGCAGCTGCTCCCGTGCCCGCTGCTCCTGTCGCTGCTCCGCGCGCCCGCCCCACTGCTCCTCGTACCCACACCCGCTGCTCCTGCTCCGCCGCCGGCTTCGCCTGACGACGCCGACAGCGCAAGGAGAAGCGCCGGGCCTTGGCACGGAAGCCCTCTGGCCTCGCCTCCTGCTACGGCTGCAGCCCTTGATGCAGAAGGCGGAGAAGGCCGCACCGGGATATGATACATGTTGCAAGTGTACATTTGAAATATTTTAGATGTTTTAGAGGTATGTTCCAAGTGTTTCACATGGATGGTGCAAAAGTAGATCAGGATATTGCAATGGTTGTACATGTATGTTGGAAGCGTTTGTCCCCAATGTTTTATTTGTTTTTTCAGTCGCATATGTTCACATATATTGCAAGTGTTTTATGTTGCGTGTGTTTGCAATGATTTTCAATTGTTTTTGCAAGTGTTTCATATACATATTTCAAATGTTCCATCTATCTTTTTTTTTAGGTTGTAAGTGTTGCATCTAGATATTTTAAAAGTAGATCGGATGTTACACATAAAATACGCGTGGGTATAAGTATACGAACCTCGTTACCAGAGGGGTCCTGCCGTCATGAAGACTTATCCGTATGTTGAATGAAAAAGACCTTATGCTTATTTTGGCAGCAAGAATTCCAGGAGGCTGCAGAACATCATCACGGCGTGAACCATAAGGTGTTTGTATGCTTTTGTTGAGGAAAACAAAGATCCCCAAATATAAATCCATTTGTCCAAATCAGCAGATATAGGAACCAGATTCAGTAGGTCAGCATCAGTAAGCAGGAGTAATTGATCATAAGCACTGTAGAGAGTGGTAAGTGAAAGAGCTCTGCCAACACAGGGTAGCTTTTCGCTTGCTGAACCGTGACCAACTTATGTTTGGCAAAAGAAAACAGCTCTGAGCTCTGGAAAAGAAAATTGACATATAGATCATACCAAAGGAGACCAGTTAGATTCGTTTTCACGATGCATGAACAATTGTCATGGTATTACTTTCCGTTCCATTACAACGCACGGATATATCACGTCCTGTCGGATCCCTCGATGTGGCGCCACAGAGCAGACGGGTCACGGTCCTCACGGACGTGCAAATCTTTATTATTTTCAGTGTTTGCTTCTTCCATTTGAATTGTTTGCCTGTCATTCACACGTGGATGGCTTGTGAGAGAGAGAGAGGGAGGGATGCAAATCCTGATTATTTTTTTGACGATTGCTTCTTTCAAATTGAGTAGGAAACAAATTCATATGTTTTTTCCCGCTTTGTAAGAAATTATAAATTGAGTAGGAGATTTAAATTGATAACAAATTAAGAAGTCTTGCCATCTCATTTCAGTTTCTAGTGTAGTGTAACCTGCTTTTTAATTTTAACTGAAAACAAACCAAATCACACCATGCATGCATCTTTCAGCGCAAAAGTGAAGGTGTATTTTATTCATTTGTATTATTCGATTCAACCACACATTCCATACAAACAATCCTATTGCATTTATTCAGAATCCCTATCCCGATTCCTGATAGGTAACTCATATAGGCCTAGCATTTTCATTGATTCATGCGGCGCTCGGACATCCGATCCGAGGCGCTACCCGCTTAGTTAGCGAGCGAGCACCCTAACGCGTCGGGTCCGCGAGCACGCGCCCTAGTAGCGGGCCGACGGTGCTAGTCGTTTCCCACGCGCATCCCATGTGCAACCTCCGATCAACTTTTAAAACATCCGGATGCAACAGTTGTAACATGTAAAGAATACATGAAACACTTGAAACATGCGTCTAAAACACTTGCAAAAACGTCTGAAACACTTAAAAATCATTGCAAACATTCATATAAAATACTTACAACAGATGTATGAAACACCTGAAACCACTTGAAAAATACGCTTACAATATGCATGTATATGCAATATCCGGATCTATTTTTACAACATCCAGATGAAAATACTTGCAGCATACGTCTGATACAGATAAAACATTTAGAACATACACTTAAAACATACATGTTTAGCCATTGCTACATGTGCAACATCCCGATATACTTCTACAACATCCTAATCTACTTTTGTAATACCGATACGATACACTTGCAACATACATTTGAAACATATGTTTGCAACATGTGTTTTTTCACCCTTCTTCCAGAGCAGAGCGGGGAACGGTCAGGTCCAGCTAGCCTGGCAGCGGCCAGCTGCGCTTGCGCCAAGCCTGGGACCGGCCATCGACAGCCTTATCTCTAGCCCCCTTGCCTGGGCGCGGCGAACAAAGGGGCACGGCACGGCGCGGCGGTGGATGGTGGCGGCAGTGCGCCGGAGTGGGGCGCGGCACGGGATGAAGGCGCCGCGAGGGATGGCGGCGGCGACGGCGGCGCGGTGGAGTAGGGCAGGCAAACACAACCGTGAAGCCACGACGGCCGAAGAGAGTGGGGAATTTCTATCGTAGCGTGCTCATTAGAGAGTAGAGAGATCGGTAGAGCATAGATGGGAGCAGGCCGGTTGCGTCTTGGGCCAGACCGCTGCACAAGCCCAGGAAATGCGGCGTCCGGATGAACGGACGCCCGGTTGCGAGCATTACCGATCCTGATTCAACCAAAATTCAGATTCCACCAAATTCAGAAGAAATAACTTCATGTCACATGGATAAATGTGTCAATTTATATTAAACTCCTTAGTTGCAATGCAAAAATACATGTGTATGGCCACCCATCTGAATTTATACTAAACTCCTTAGTTGCAATGCATTCAAACTTTTTCTGGAGCATGTGAACTTGTTGGCTACCAAAAAAAAATATCTTGATAAAAGAACTCAGACTCATGAAAATATCACCTATTCTGGGAGCTCTCAAGTCTTAACTCTAAATGAATCGTGCCATCTGTTGTTTTGATTCCCTTCAAAGATAGTCCTGGGGTATCCTACAAACAACAAGCAGTACTAATATGAACTAAAAACATCAGTTCATCATGCCATCGAGCTCGAGAAAGCACCTTACACATACTTGTCATGCTAGCTCCTATTGTGTTTCAGAGTTGCTTCTACGCCCTGTCTGTCTGAACTGCCTGCAAACAGAGATAGTATTTGCACTCATTATTCAAGAAGAAATCTGTTCTCCCAGTTGCCAGTTAACACCCACCCATTCATACAGGCCCAGCCCAACATATCTGTCCATTCATTATTAAATTAAATCATGTAAACAGGTACAGACCCAGCCCATCCAGCGCCTTATCAACATATCTGTCTATTTCTGGATCAAAACATGACAATAATCTTGGCAGCTAATCCATATACATTGCGATTAGGGAACAACTAATATCTTTCTGAATCAAAGAGAAGCTAGGCTATTACACCATGTAGACTACAGTGGAGGAAACATCGCGGAATCAAAGACAGTACGAATCAGTAAAATATTAAACTGTTCTTCTTGAGTTCTAGAAAAATTATTTAAGAAAAGAAAACATCGAGTGCGAACAAATCGAAACACGCACCTCGGCGAGTTGGTCGATTTCCGGCTTTCCGCGGCCTACTGCAGCATGGCGACGACGAAGCGTGGAGGCTGAGGAAGTATGTCTGGGTGCGGATCTGGAAGAGGAAGTCATGAGAGCTCGGGTTGCCACATCAGGGACACGCGCAGAGCGGTGGAGGCAGCACTCGCCACGCTTGACAGAGGCCTCACCACATATTGGACATAGCCAAATTTGTGAATACTAATGGGACAGCTTTATCTCTCCAAATAGACAAGAGAAAACAAAGATTACATGTACATATCTGAAGCACTAATGACTGCTCTCCTTTTCA